TCTATTATTTGACGAGGAGAATGTGTTCAATCGACTTCACTCCAATTTTGTTTTCACCACGGGTGAGGGGTCGTTCTATTTCTCAGACTTTACTGTTTATGCTTCTAACTATAGTTCTAGAGGGACATGTTCTGCCGCTACCACGAAACCAGTCGCTTGCTCGCAGCGGCGGCTTAAAATTGGCACCCCTCATCTGCCCTAAATACACTCCTCCTTCCCCTGTCTACGCATACTTTGGACTTGGAGCTCCGACATCGTGGCTTCCTGTCAGCATTCCGGACCTTGTTCACATCAATCGGCTCGTGGGGAACCCTGACTACCTCAGCTACGACCTTCTCTTCAAAGGTGACGGGCGGGCGCCCACTTGTGTGGCGAACCACACGCGAATCGTGGCGAGCGCACTGTTTGACAACATTGTGCAGGAGTCTGAAGTCATGTACGTCGTTGGTGTTCTTGATGTGGTGGATCGTTGGGTTTCTGTTTTGGTTTATGCCGGTTTTGTGTTCTTCTTGGGGAGGTTCGTTTCTTTCCTCAAGCACTGGGCCGAGTGAGGTCTCTGCATTTTTCGCATGTATCTATGGGACAGTTGGGTATATACCCCCACAGTATTGAATTCGGATGGAATTGAAGATGAGGGAGGGACTTTGGCTGGATATTGTTGGTATTTACTGTCTCAGTTCATTAAACGGGAACCTTTTTTGTTACATACGGTTCCCTTTCTCCTTTTCCCAATTTTTTCCTCCGTTTAAACTGACACATAATAATGCGACAGGCTGGCAGCACCACCTGGAAGTTTGGAGCACAGTTTGAATCCAATTGTGACGCCCACTCCGGACGGCTACAGACTGTCCACACTCAACAACGTCAAGTTGAAAATACGGCTTGACCAGGGTGGCAGCTCATTTTCCATTGCGTCGGTTCGTGCAACTCCTTGAGCTCTTATTATGACGCGTTCTCACCTCGCTTCTGCTGTAGTTCTTTGTTAATGGCCATCAATACGTGGTATCGGACCCTGTCCGGTCCGTAAAAGTGATGCAGAATGGAATTGGTTTCCTTCTCAACCAACCAGTCTCACCCACATCCTCCAACGCGCCTCAAGCGAAGCGGAAGGGTGAGGCAAATCTACGCGTGCAGACCAAAAGCATCGCAGGTACCAAGGTGTCTCTCACCCCTTACGTGTGCTGTGGAGTTGCTCACCGACGTGATACGAGTAGCGTTCGGAGACACATGGGTAGACTATCCTGTGTTTTCAAGCTCCTTCAGCCGGTCACTCGAGTCCAAGGAGGTGTTGGAGCTACAGTTGACGCCTCTATATAGCTTGTCTGGGACCAAGACGCTTGTCGCCGGATGCAAGAGCTACACGCAGGAGCAAGCGAATCAAACACGGGGCAAAATGGTGGTTGTGGTGCGAGGTGACTGCTCCTTTGAAGAGAAGGCAATCCATGCCTTGAATGCGGGCGCTGCGGCGGTGGGCGTGGTTAATGTGGATAACCATATTTTGGGGATGGTTGGGAGTGGTGGCTTGCGGGAGCCGTTGGGAATACCTGTGGTTTTGCTTCAAAAGAACACGTGGGACCGCGTTCAGGTGGAAGTTGGCGGCGTGGAGTCTCTGTTGCCAGTGAAACTGATGGCGTTGGACACGCTCGAGGAAGAAATTATAACCGGGCTTCAACTGCAGTATGGGAACAGGCCCTTATCCAATTTGATGATCGTTGCTATGGTGCAAGTTGAGGGAAATTGAATCAGTACCGTCATGTTTCTATTTGAAAAGAATAAATGTCATGTTCGTGGCTGCGACCATTACAACTGTCAAGGTAATGGTTGCGACCACCATCCGTTTTGATTTCCAACAGTCAAATTCATCGCAGTGACTGACCAATCACACTGTCCGTTCTGACGATGCCAAAACGTGAACGCCTCCATCGTTCCCAGGTAATGAGCCACAGCTCCAAGCACGATTGCGACATGCATTATTTGATGCGATGACCCCTAATGCGATGGGTTACTGAAATTCTCCGGAACAAACATATCCAGTACGATGTAATCAAACCGTCCTGGCGCAAAACGCTCTGGAATTCGGAAGTGAAAAATGAGAGCTCCACCGACATCAAAGAGAGCAACCAGCAAAAGATAGTTGAAGGCGATGCTTCGTTTTGTGAGCTCAAACTTGAAGTTTGGAAAATCGTCAGTTTCTCACATTTCTTCAAGAAGGATCCTTACCCCGTGCAAGATACAAGAATGGGCTATGGGGATGAGTCCAAGGAATCCAAAGGCAATGAAGAGAAACAGTCTCAGAGCTCCGAAACGCGGCTTCATAAATCTCGAGCTGATGTTTGTGAAGATCTGTTCGCAGGTGCAGTTGAATTCAGACCCCTGACGCAGGAGGAGGCGCAGCAGACTTACTGTTGCAGCACCACTCAATAAAATCATCGCAATGTAAACAGCTTGAAGCGTTTTGTCACAATAGAAAGCGTAGCTGACGGAAGTGATGAAGCACCCGCCGATTTGAAAAACAATCCCCGCGTAATCTGCCCTCAAACAAGCCCGATGCACCTCTTGTGAGTGGCAACAAAACAAATGAAAAGCGACAGAGAGAACAAAGCAGCTCGTGATTCCCAGATGCATGGCCAGAAAAGCCAAGATGTCCCGCCAACCTACGCCGTCCATGGAAGAGTGAGTGAAGAGGGGTCCATATGTATAGCCAAGAAGCCCAATAAAGAGAAGCGCCCCAATCAAGTGGGTGTAAATGTTGCCAGTTTCGTTGTGCCAATAAGCGAGGGAGTTCAAGCAATGTTTGTAAGAGGGCTTGATTGGCCGATATCCGGACCAAATGAAAGGCTCGTGTTGATACCACGCGGGCATTTCGTCGCGCATCATAAGGATCGGCTTGAACGTCGCGTGGCTGCTGTGTGGAGACGCTGCATCAGCGGATGGTTTGAGGGGACCCTCGGATTCACGCGCCTCCTCCGACGAGACAACGACGAGCGTGTCTGCGGAGACGCCGCGTGGAGCATCGTCTCCGGCATCGCGGATCGCGAGAGGTGGGCGATCGCGTGCATCGACTGCGGTGGGTGGGACGGGCGAGTCGTTCATTCCTTGGCGCTGGGAAAATCTTCCTTCATTTTTTTTTGTGAACAAGACCGTCGATAATTTAAATAACATTAGTTTATTTGTTTATCGCTATGTCCATCTTAAGCACTTCTGCCTCGTCGTCACAGCGATAGGTCCAGCAACTTCCAATCCAAATACTCCACTCCACGATCCACCAACCATTTCTTAACGACAGGCCCGACAATTCCTCCATCCTCTTGCAGTCCCTCGTTTCGAAAAACCTTTCCACTACATCCATGAACATAAAAGTACTGCAAATTCAGCAGCAGCATAATGGGGCCAAAAAAGTGGTTGCATTCTGTCTCAGTAAGTGGAATAAAATTCATAGAAAGACGCAGCTCCTGAAGCTGCTGGAGGTCCTGAAGAAATTCCAAACCGCCCGCAACATACTGAACACAAACATGCAGGAACTGAAGTGATCGCATTTGTGTCAGTATTTCCGAGGCATCCTTGATAATCTTCGAATCAGAGAGATGAAGAGTAGTCAATGAAGTACGGGAGAGAAGCAATCCGCGGATGCTGGTAAGTGAGGAGCATTGGGATGCAATGACACTTTTCAAGCTTACGGTGTGACGAAAAGCATCCAAGCTGGTAACATTGGTTTCGCTGCATATGACTGTTTCCAACTTGAAGGCAGGAATGTCGTCCGTGTTGGACAAGAGACGCTTTGCCTTGGACTGCTTGCAAGAAAAAAACCGAAGCAACGGGCAGTTCATTAAAATAGGACCAAAGTCTTCCACGTCAGTTCCATCCATGGACAGGTGGGTGAGGTTAGCCAAGCGAGCACGAGCCCACACCGATGCTTCCATGTCCGCAACACTTGAGAAGGAAACATCGAGAGACTGCAGTTTTGAGCCAACTCCCTCGCCAATCAAGAAATTCAAATCGCTCACAAAGGTGAGGGCAATATTGAGTTGTTGTAATGCATGAAAGTTGCTGTCGCCCAGGAGGGTGACGTCAGAGACACTTGTTTCCATCAGATCCAAGACCCGTAGATACTTGAGGGTTGCGAGTGGATGCAGGTGAATGAGGGGGGCTTGCTTGATACGTAAGACGCGAAGGTGTTGCAGTTGTTGAATGAAGCTGGCATCAAACACATTTGAGTTTTCGATGGAGAGGTAGGTCAGTGACTGGGCACATGCCCATGGGGTTTGAAGCGTCAAATCCGCAAATGCGCGTCCATTGAGCGAAAGATGTTCCAAGCCGGATAGGCGGGATGTGATCAAACTCAACAGGACCAATGCGTCGTCTGCATGGTGGAGAGAGAGCTGGAGCTCGCGCAAGCGGGACCAGTTTGCAAGAATGTGTGCGGATTCGAGGCGGCGATTCTTTGCACGAAACGTGGTTATTTGTGAAAGAGAGGGACTGGGACCATCTTCGAGGTTGAATGGCTCGAGGCCGTCGTCCGGTGCACCGCCCACATCGAGCACCTCGAGCAAGTGCAGCACACGAAGCACGCGCGTCTGCGGCGATGCGAGGCCGGATGCCGCGAGCGTCTTCAATGAGGTCGCAAAATGCACGAGCGCAAGCTCATTTGCACTGTCCTGTTGATACTGTTCAGGTCCCTTGGGAAGGAAGGGAAGTAGTCGCACCGCATTGACACACTCGCTCTCGCTGCACTCGAAACGCACGTGCGTCACGAGCCCCGAGAGGCACCCCACACGTGCACACGTCTCATGGAACGACACGTTTGGGGGAATGCGAATTTGCACACGTGTTCGCAGCGTCGTCTCGCGCAGACGTGCAAACATGGTATTTGTCGCACTCAGTGCCAAGGCATCCCGAACACGCAGGTATGGTAACAGGGCGCCGTCGAGGGTGTAGAGCGATTGACAAACGTCCATTTCATAAATGTCTTATTGTGTTTTGCGATTTCGCCTTTTTCGTATGGGGTGTTAGCTCAATTGGTAGAGTGCTTGGTTCGCATCCATGAGGCAGGGGGATCGAAACCCCCACACTCCATATCTTTTCGGTTGGTGTTCCAGCGAACAAGGAAGCTTGTATACATTGGTTGGCAAATATGGTGATCAATTAAGTTAGCCAGTATGAATATTATTGACGTGGGCTCTCAAAGAGTCGACGCCACGGAAGCGGCTGAACTGGCTGGGTGCACATGAGGATGGGTCAGTTTTTCTCCTGCTTGAAGTGACAACCGATCTTTCCTCCATGAGCAAGTGTTGAACGTATTTATTTGACACAGACAGGTTGAGTTGGACCAGTCTTTCACTTCCTTGAGAAAGCGAACCACCACCCATCACTTGAACAGCTTTCTGATACTCATATTCTGCTCGCTGTCCTTCTTCATCACCTATATGCGAAAGGGAAAATACGAAACATAAGCGGAGGTTGCAATAAAACACGTGAAGTGAAACACAACCTTTCCAACTGCCATCTCAAAGTCTTCCTGAGTAACATGCACACGTCTCTCACGCAGGGCGTACATTCCAGCCTCTGTGCAGACACCTTTGGTCTCGGCACCGCTTGCACCAGGCATCATTTCAGCAATCTTGCGCAGATTGATACCGCGCGTTAAGTTCTGCAAAAACGAGCGCGAGCATCAATAGCTGGGCACTAAAGGGGAAATAGATGTCGTCATACCATCTTTCTGCTGTGAATCTTCAAAATGTCCGTGCGAGCAGTCTCATTCGGGGGAGGGAACTCAATCTTTCTGTCAATGCGACCTGGACGCAAGAGCGCGCTGTCCAGAATGTCAATGCGGTTTGTGGCCATGATGACCTTGATGCTTTGCGTGGCCTCAAACCCGTCCAGCTGGTTCAGAAGCTCAAGCATGGTACGCTGCACTTCACTGTCACCACCACCACCGCCACCTCCACCGCGAGAGGATCCGATAGAGTCGATTTCGTCCATGAAGATGATGGAGGGGGCATGCTCTGATAGTTGTACGAGAGTGTGAGGGTGTCACAAAACGGTGACTTGAGGTCAAAGACATGCACACACCTCTCGCCATCACAAAGAGCTCACGCACCATGCGCGAGCCTTCTCCAATGTACTTTTGCACCAATTCTGATCCAGAGACACGAATGAAGCGGCAGTCCGTGTGATGAGCGACTGCCCTTGCCAAAAGAGTTTTTCCGGTTCCAGGCGGTCCATACAGCAACACGCCTTTGGGCTGGGCAATACCAAGAGCCTCGAAGAGCTCCGGATGCTTCACGGGCAACTCGATGACCTCCTTGATTTCCTTAATTTGGCGGTCCAGACCACCAACTTGGTCGTATGTACTATCCGGCACCTTTTCGACCATCATGAGGGAAACGAGGGGATCAATTTTGTTGGGCAAAACTTTGTGGAGCTGATAGTTGTCTGCGAGTGAAGTTTCAAGAACACGAGGTAAACATTTCAATAACACGCGTGAGGAGGAGGCGAACGAAAGCACTCACCATGACGAAGAGCGACGCGAACGGTGGGGGTGAGCTCAGCAATGTCAATAGCTTTTGCAATATCGACCACGTACTTTCCCTCTTGCTGGGTCTTGACGAGGACCTGTCCAATTGTATATTTTTTACGGGGCATTCCAATCAGCCGTCGGCCGGGAAAGCGCGAAAGAGGAAACGAGGGACCTTGTTTTTGCCCATCAGCTTGACGACCTCGCCGACGTAGGAGCCGGGCTCCTGCAGCAACTTGAGCTCGTCGCGCAGCAGCCGTACTTTAGAGTTGAGCTGGTTACGCTGGGCTTCGAGACGCCGCAGGTTCTGGGTCTGTGCGGCGATGGTCGTCTCAAGCTCCTGTTGTTTTTCGTTCATGTCAGCCCCAGCCCCGCCTGAGGCCACCCGTCCCCATCATCCCGTTCCATCCTACTTTACCTCAATCTTGTTGCGGTAATACGTCTTGATGCCGTCGCCTCCGCTCGCAGCAGTGACCGCCGTCATTTTGTTGGCTGCTTTTTTTACTCACACAGAAAACTGGCTACGAACGCGTCACCACCGCCACCACTTCTCCTCCTACCCATCCAACGGACAGGGATTGAGCCATTCAGTTTGATGTCTACATTAACAGGTGATCATGCAACCCTCGTAGTTGTCATCCCCCGTCTTAGGATTCACCTGATTCACCTCCACGCACAATACCTGCAGCGCATCACATCGCTTTCGGGGGAAGGCAGTAATGTAATAGGTCCAATTCACTAGCTGCTCCTCTTATATACCTTGATAGACAAAGTCCGATAAATACAGCTTTCGTTATTGTTGCTTCGTGGTCACAGTCCAAGAATTGTTAAGTTCCACAGCAACCTTCTGGCAGTAGTCTATATGTATTGATAACGATACAGTTGCATACTACCAATGGGTGTCCTGCGCGGACAGTTGCGTCTTTCCAATCGTTGAGGCGATAGCACCATCGTTGGCGACCACTTTCAAGAGTCGACTTCGTAAGAATAGAAATGCTTCGCAGACAAAAAGACGTGTGAGAAAGGCCTCTGAGAGGTTCGTTGGAGGAGGATGGATACCATCTATTCGGATAGTTGAGACGAAAGGTGGACCAGAAGTGTCCGAAACTTGTCCATAAAAGAATAAATAGCATGCCGCCAACCATCACCACCACACCTATCCAACCAACGGCGCCGCAACCTCTCTCTCTCCCACAAGCAAAGAAACTTGGAAGCTCACAACCGCGCGCTGCGACAGGTAAGAGTTAGAATACAGAAGAGACCCAATTCACCGAAAGCCCACCTCAGCCTCCCTCAAACGCGCTCATCCACCGCCAACATCCTCCTCCTCTTCCTCACACCACCGCTCTATTGCTTCCCTCAACACCTTGAATGCACCCATGTCCTCGCAAAGCAAGAAACCGCGCATGCACCAAGCACCACCCGCTGCGCCAACACCGGAACGCGCAGCGATACCCCCACAAGAATGGAACCCACAGACGCATTCCATGCCTCTGGACTTGAATGGGAGTGATGGGCTTGCGGCGGTCGACGGGGCCAATCCCGACACCATTCGTTCGATCCATGACCTTGCTTTGGATGCACGCGACGAGGGCGAGGAAACGGGATATTTTCATGCGTCTGCGCATGACGGACAATCGGACACATCAGAGATGGGAGTCTCGTTTGAGACGCAGACGTCCTTCCATCGGGACGCCCCCGAATTTGATAGCTCTGAGTTGCATGAAAGTGACCTTGAAAAAGGGGAGATGGATTATGAAAGCGTGGACGGTGAGGGGACTTTCATAGGCGAGGACGGCGGCGCGATATTCGACACGGACGACGGTAGGAGCTTGGATGGGAGCATAGGAAGCACCAGCAGTGAGGGCAGCGCGGTGTCGAGTCGCGCGGAATCTGTGCATGGCACTGAGAGTGAAGATGAGGATGACAGCATGGACATGTTGGGCGCACTCGCGTCACAAAACAGTCTTGGGTTTGAGTTTGTTCAGCAGTCACTCTTTACGAACCATGGACCAAGCCATGAGCTGACGGATGGTAAGGATGGCAGCTTGAATGGCGAAAATGAATATGAGGAAGCTGAGGACATTCACATTGACGGTGTGTACGGGACAAATGGAGCAAAGTCAGGAGGTACCAGTAACGAGTTTCACCAAGAGGACAGTGATATCCTCGAGAACAAGGAAGTGGCTGAAGTCGATGAACGCGTGGAAATGAAGGAGGATCGCGAACAGTCAGAGACTCCAGAAAATCAGTGTGAAGATGTGGTCGAGCCTCTCTTGCGCGTTGGAAACCAGCTCTACTTCAAGTCGTTTGACGGCGCCTTCGAGCTGACGGACGAGTACATGAGTGCAAGAGCCTCGAGAAGAGTTCCCGTTGACGATATGGCGGCCAAGATTCAAGGTAAGATGAATGGTCCTCATATTCCTCTCTCATCATTTGGAACACAATACAGGCTACGGAGTCAAGATTGCAGAGAAGCTTGCACTTGTCAACGAGGAATTGCAGTTGAGTACTTGCTGGTATTATTCCCCAAGACCTATGATGAAGCGCTTCCACGCAATTTTGCATCTTACGGCGATTCAGGCGCTTCCGCATGTACAAGGATGAGATGATCGTGATTCTGGACAATGCCAAGTCGCGTTCGCACGATTCCCTCCAGGCGGTGAATGCACAGCGTGCGGTTGCTCAACAAAACGCCAAGAACATGGTTGTTGCGAATGCAGGAGTATACAGCGGAGTTGTATGATTTTCGATGGTTCTGGTTGTTGTTTTTTCAAAGTCCTTTTCAAAAACTAAAGATTGTTGGCACTTTTGCTGTCTCCGCCTTCTTGCTCTGCCTCGCTCGTCTTTCCCGCGTATATATACGAGTCTGCACTCAAATACTTTATTCCAAATTCTGACTGTAGCTGAATGATAGATAGAACACGTAGTATCTTACACTTCCCCTTCCCATTAAATCCCACTTAAGGGAGACTCTAAGCAATCATGCAATCGCATCCCTTCGAATGTAAACAACTATTTCATCACAGACCAGCCTCCAGCAACGTACCCGCATCCTTCGTCATTTGCTTGTAACTTTCAGGATGCACATGCACGCACCAATCAATGCGCTCCAAAAACTGCATCTCCAACTTTGCACACAAGTCACGATTCATGCCCGTGATGTTGCACCACGCGTCGATTCCGTGGCGCGCGTCGTCGTGCAGCTTGCTGCTTATGATCAGGGCCACGCAAAAAAGCTGAAACTGCGCCGCGAGGGTGGAACCGAAGCTATCCTCTGCGACCACATTGCGCAGGCGCGAGAGGTAGAGCAGGGCCATGACGATGATCGGGGCCGGCGCGCGCGACTGCGCGAGGACGCGGGCGATGTTGTTCTTGAAGAAGACTGTGTTGGCCTTGGAGACTGAGACTGTGAAGGATGTGGTTGCAGGAGCACCCGGCAGGGTCACTGGGGTTCCGGTTTGGGCGGCGGAGGGATCGAGGCTGAAGAGGGACTGGAGGTGGAAAACGATGAGCTCCACAAAGGGCATTGAAGCGTTGAGTCCAGGCTGAAAAGCGA